TGTACTACCTATCTATTATAAAAAGTGACATGACTCTTTCCCATATTTCCTTTTTTCTGTCTATATAAAGCAGAAAACTGTCTAATAAAGCAGAAAACTTTTATTATGGATATTGACCTTAGAAAGTAATTGCCTCAAGGGTGTTACTGCCGATGCCATTTTAAGAATGAAGGGCAGTGCTACTTAAGCAGGGAAACATTCACGGGCAGGGAGGTGAAGAGGAATAAATAAATTCTTAAATGACCTTGTCTGTCATAGTCATCAGATTTAACTAGAGTTTAATTTATCACAGATTTCCGAGTGTGTGGTCCTGCCTGAAGGGTGTCGTGTGATGAAAGATAACAGAGCGATGGTTCTCAAGGTTGGGGGGAGGGCTGTGATTGTGCACCCACCCTGCCACCACCACCTGGGGAAATGTGGCAATGTCTGGAAACATTTTTGATTGTCACCACTAAGGGGGAGGCGGATGCTACTAGCATCCAGTGGGTAGAGGCCAAGGATGCTGCTAAACATCCTATGACGCACAGGACAGCTTCCACAACAAAGAGTTATTCAACCTCCAATGTCGACAGTCCTGAGGTTGAGAAATGCTGAAGTAATGCATAATGTTTAGATGTCTGAACTTGGATTCCTGCTTCATCACTCAGACGGACTGCCTATTTTCTTTTTTTTTTTTTTCTTTTCCCATTTTAGAATTAGGTTGTTTGTCATTTTGTTGTTGAGTTGTATGAATTCTTTATATATTCTGGATACTAGACCCTTATCAGATAAATTATTTGCAGATATTTCTGCCATTCTGTAGGCTGTTTTTTCACTTACTTGACAGTATCCTTTGATGCACAAAAGTTTTTAATTTTGATGAAATGCAATTTATCTGTTTTTTCTCTTGTTGTCCATGCTTTTAGTGTCATATCTGAGAATCCATTTCCAAATTTAGGGTTATGAAAATTTAATTTTATTCTTCTTCCAAGAGTTTTATGGTTTTAGCTGTTATATATTTAGGTCACTGATCCATTTTGAGTTGATTTTTGTATGTAGTATGAGGTAGGTGTCCATCTTCATTCTTTTGCATGTGGATATTTAGTTGTCCCAGCATCATTTGTTGAAGAGACTGTTCTTTCCCCATTTGAATGGTCTTGGCACTTTGTTGAAAATCAGTTGGCCATAGATGTGTGAGTTTGTTTCTGGGGTCTCAATTCTGTTCTTGCCATTTACTTTTGTATGGACTGAGTTTCTTATTTTTCTCCCTTTGATAACAGGATCATGGCGTTGATAGCAGCATTTTCCAGAATCCCAAAAAGCTTCATCTAACTATTGGGATGTTGGTGCTTTTGAGTGAGGAAGAGATCCAGCAGACATGTGAGATGCTACAGCAGTGTAAAGAGGAATTCATTAAGTGAGCAATCCTCAGGGATGGGGAAGGGTGGTCCACCTGGGCTGACTTCTTTTTGGTATTATTATGCAGACTTGTTTTTGGACTAGGGAGCAAAGTTTGTTGACTCACCCATTTGTAACACTTAACACTGGACCATTGTCTGAAAAGTTTAAAATGACATTTAAGCATATATTTACAAAATTTATGGAAAGACTCTACCTTAAATTATACAAATGCAGTAGGCAAATTTTGTTCTTAAACAGGACATCCTATTATTTTCTTCAATAGGAAACTCTCCTTATTATCTATCAAAGCATATAGGCTATGATTATTAGTTTAGTATTAGTATTAGTTTAGTATTAGTTTTCTATGCTGCTATAAGATATTATTACAAGATTAGTGGCTTAAAATAACTCAAATTTATTATCTTATAGTTCTGTAGATCAGAAGACTGATGTGGGTTTCATTAGGCTGAAATCAGGGTGTCGGCAGGGTTTTGATCCTTTCTTTAGAGGCTCTGGGAGAAATCTGTTTCCAGTCCAGCTTCTAGAGTTGGCCCCCATTCCTTGGCTACTGGCCCCTTTCCTCCATCTTCAACTCCAGCAACATTGCATCTCTGTGACACACAGCAAGGACAGGTTGTCTGCTTTTCAGGACTCATGATTTGATTGAACCCCCACCCAGGTAATCCAGGTTAATCTCCCATCTCCTGTTCCTTCACCTTACATCCACAAAAGTCTCTTTGCCATGGAAGATGGCGTGTTTACAAATTCCAGAGAGTAGGATGTGGGCATCTTGGGGGAGGGGGCATTATTCTGCCTACTGCAGTAACTCAAACATTATAATATGATTCCCTAGGAAAGTCTTTGTTGTGTTTCAGAAACACTGATTTTCTTTTTCTTTTTTTTTAAATACAGGTAATATTATTTTTTTACTTTTTTGGAAACGAGGTCTCACTCTGTTGCCCAGAGCTCAGTGGCTATTCACAGGTGTGATCATCATGTACTATAGCCTTGAACTCCTGGGCTCAAGTGGTCCTCCTGATTCATCCTCCTCAGAAGCTGGGACTATAGATGTGTGTCACCATGCCTGGCTCTAAGCAATCTGTTTTAATTCAGAGACAACATTGCTGTTCTGGGGACAGAGTTGTTATTCGTAAAATTTTAATTTACACATACATCTGATATAACATCTTTATTGCAAAGAATCATCTCTTCTCCTCTCTCACTTTACTCTTTTTACTTAAGATTAATGAATAAGAGAGATTTGAAAGCTGACTCACTCAAGTAGTTTTTTTAATTGCATTATTATATACAAGTCCCACACTATTTTAACATGATCTTGTGGAAAGAAGTTACCTTATTCATTGGGTAGAACAAGGTAAAATGATCTAAAATTTTTCTTTAGTTGTGTTGTATATGAAACTGTGTAATACAGTGACTTATTTGTGGGCCAGTTATCCTTTTCCGTTGTTTCAAAGACAAGATATTTTTCTTGTGCAAAGTCACAAGCTGATTGTGTTTGCAGTCTCCCTGTCCTCTCTGAATCTCCCATCCAAGTACTAACCAGGCCCGACCCTGTTTAGCTTCCGAGATCAGACGAGATCGGGCGCGTTCAGGGTGGTATGGCTGTAGACCCTCTCTGAATCTCAAATTCCACTTCTTGTCGTCTTTGCTCAGAGATGGACATATCTGTTTTCTCTCAGTCTTACCTAAAATTCACAATAATTTGGTGTTTGTATTAGATATTGGCAAATTTCCTTGTATAAAATATAACTTTATGCTTTGTCTTACAAATAATCAGGGCAATTTTACCTGGTTTGAGGATCAGTTCTGATACTTTAACTTATTCCCAGTTCACTTTTTGCTAAACTGAACTGAAAGCTGCTGCATTTTCCTAGCAACGTTGGGATAATCCTGCTAAGAAAAAATTTAAAAATAGGTAAAATATTTGTTTAGAGAACAAATTTGGAGAGGTATTTGTTCTTTTTGCCTTATGAAAATCAGGTCACAGGTTTTTAATCACTGAAGCTTTATCCTAAGCCATGTGAAGATTTAGTTGAGTTCCTCCCTTTTATGTCTCTTGGCGCTTTTTGTGACTAAATGCCAAATCTGAGCTTTAGGCATGTCAGAGTTGGTGTGCATAGGGAATAAAGAGCATCTTAATAGTCCCTAAGAATTTTTGACATGACAGGATGAAAACAGTAATTGTAGTTTTTCAAATTCAGCAAAGCTTTTGAAATAGGACAAAGTTACCCTGCCAAAAATCTGCAGTGCCTGCAAAAATGTGTTTGAAGATGTTCTTTTTAAAAAGCTGGAAAGATTTGAAGCCAGCAAGTAAAATAAAACAAGTCTCCACAGCCTCTTCTCCTGCCTTCCCTCTGCCACGTGCATTTGTTTAAGAAGTAAAAAATTAAAAGTAAAAAGTGAGAAATTAATTTACTTCTGAGAAGGAGGATGAGAATCAGAATAGGTGTTTGAATTGGTTTGAGGTATCTTATTTTCCTAAGAAGATAGGAAGTAGAAGAGACTTCTACTTAAAAAAATAAAATAAAAATCCTTGGAAAAAAATGTCAATAAATAATGGCATTTCTAACCTGAACCTTTTATGTTGTAAAGATTCCAAATTAAAATATGAAAAAGAAAACATTGAGAAATGAATAGACCAGTACATAGTGAGCTATAGTTTAAGTTGATGGCTTTTTAAATTGGAGTATTAAAATGTGGCTATATTGGAATTTGATTAAACTACAGTGCTATATAACTATTTTAAAGAAATGAATAGTTGAATATTTTTTGTAAATTTGGGGGTAGATTTTTAATTTAAAGGACACTATCTGACCAGAAACAGGATTTTCATTTTAATTCTTTGGCTAAAGGCTCATGTAGCTCTATAGATTTTGAATGAATTATTCAGTGTTTAGTAAATTCTGAAGCTCTAACTGTGTCCCTTGTGACTCTTCTTTGTGAAATGTAGGACACAGAACAGTGCACTGGCTCTGAGGACAGAGTCGGACAAATGGACAGCTCTTCTTTAGCGCCACCGTCACCCTCCTGTGCCTGAGTGTTCCCGATAGGGCTGAGGTCAAACCAAAGAACAGGTTTAGAAGAGACAAGAAAGAGGAGACAAGGAAAGAAAATACCCGTGAACAAATGTTAATGCCTAATTATCGCCTGAGGTATCATTAGTTGGGAAGTATGCTCACTGGTGTCCCAGGTGGAATAGTTTGGCCACCGAGACAAAAAGCGTTCATCAGGCAAATCATTGGATGTCTATCCTGCCCTTTAATCTCCCTCTTAATAAACCTTAGGGGTAGGTTGAAAGAAATTGTATCTACTCATAGAGCAGGTTTTCATAATTTCATTTATTTTTTTGTTCTTAGTATGCCATCTCATTTCAAGGATTTGAGGTAGTTTAGGGTGAGGGCATGTATAGAAAAGAAGTGCTAAAGTCAGAGAGATCAGAAACCATAAGGATGAAATGGGGAGAAAATTCTACCTGAAAATCAAGGTGAGATGTTAATTGTGCATGAGCATTAAAGTTTGGTACTGTTTTCTGATACCAGTATATACTTGAACTAAATTCCAAAAGAAACACACCAATTTATTATAGTTCTTACTCTATAAAAAGTATAATAATTTTTGAGGAGAGAAACCTTTTCTGGTTCTCAGTAAATGGAAAATTTGTCATGTAAATCTTAAAGAACCCAGAATGATGATGAGCAGGTGCCTTTAATGGGAATTTTGCAGAAGATAAAACCATTGTTAATGTGGCGCTTTCTTGTATTGACCCCTAGAAATTGAGAGCATCACATTAAATATAACGCAGTAAAAAACATTTTGGTGGGAAACTATGCCAATGGTATGCTTTCTGATGATCTATTTAATAACTGCAGGTGGCCGGGCGCGGTGGCTCATGCCTGTAATCCTAGCTCTCTGGGAGGCCGAGGCGGGTGGATTATTTGAGCTCAGGAGTTCGAAACCAGCCTGAGCAAGAGTGAGACCCCCGTCTCTACTAAAAATAGAAAGAAATTAATTGGACAACTAAAAATATATATATAAAAAATTAGCCAGGCATGGTGGAGCATGCGTGTAGTCCCAGCTACTTGGGAGGCTGAGACAGTAGGATTGCTTGAGCCCAGGAGTTTGAGGTTGCTGTGAGCTAGGATGGCGCCACGGCACTCTAGCCCGGGCAACACAGTGAGACTCTGTCTCAAAAAAAAAAAAAAAAAACATCGGGGGATGTGTGGTTAGTAGGAAACTTTTTTTCAAATAAGTTTTCTCAGTTGCACTTTGATAGGGTTTGCTGGAAGTCTTTCATTATTGAATTCTTTGGCTGGTATTTTGAATGGAGATATATTGTATTATTGATTGAAGCTGCAGATCTCAGGTACCAGTTCAGAGCTAGGCTTGTGTTTTGAAATGTCCCACTTCTTATTAGAGGTGGCAGGGAGGCTTATGATCAGGACCATAATCTATCTATCTTTCTTTTTTCATTTTCTTTCTTTTTTTTTGAGATAGGGTCTTACTGTGTCACCCAGGCTGGAGTGCAGTGAGGCAATCATAGCTCATTGTAGACTTGAACTCTTGGACTTATGTGATCCTCCTGCCTAAGCCTCCCAAGTAGCCAGGACTATAAGTGTATGCCACCACAGCTGGCTGATTTTTAAATCGTTTTTTTAGAGGTGGGGTCTCACTATGTTGCCCAGGCTGATCTTTAACTCCTGGTCTCAAGTGATCCTCTCACCTGGGCCTCCCAAAACACCTGGATTACATGTGTGAGCCACTGTGCCCTGCCCATAACTTTTATTAATCTGGTATCTGTCTAAAATAATTCAGATGTTTAGTTTTTGGTTGTTTTTTTTTGAGACAAAATCTCACTCCTTCACCTTGGCTAGAGTGCAGTGGTATTATCATAGCTCACTGCAATCTCAAACAACTGGGCTGAAGCGATCCTCCTGCCTTAGCCTCCTGAGTAGCTGGGACTACAGGTGTGCACCATCATGCCCGGCTAATTTTTCTATTTTTTGTACAGACAGGGGTCTTGCTATTGCTCAGACTGGTCTTGAACTCCTCAAGCCATCCTCCTGCCTCGGCCTCCCAGAGTGCTAGGATTACAGGCATGAGCTACCATACCGAGCCCGTTTTCTACTGAGAGAAATTCTGGTCTTATTCAATAATATGGCCTTGAAGTTTTAAGATAATGTTTACCATTAGGACTCCTGGGTTACAAAGAGCATTCTTATAGCCTGGATTCAATATCAAGAGAACTTTTTTGATTTTTTAGAATTGCTTCCTCTGCCTTTTTTTTTTTTTTTTTTTTGAGACAGAGCCTCACTCCGTGGCCTGGGCTAGAGTGCAGTGGCATCATCATAGCTCACTGCAATCTCAAACTCCTGGGCTCAAGTGATCCTCCCGCCTCAGTCTCCTGAGTAGCTGGGACTATAGGTGTGCACCACCATCCTTGGCTAATAGAATTGTCTTTTTAATTTTTCACTATGGATGTATGAATTTACGGGGGGTGCTTAAACTCAGTGGTAAGAATAGAATTGTCTTTTCATGGATCTTAAAATCCTCTTGTCTTTGAGCCAGTACCACATTTTTATTTAATGACAATATAGGTATGTGACCATATTGATCTCAAAATTATCTAGAATAGCTTCTCCCTTTTATAGTAGAACATCCATTTAATGTTTACCAGAGATTTATTGAACACTTATTTTGTATAAGGCGCATTATGTCATGTATTGAGGATATAGGAGTGTATAAGATGGAGAGAGTGCCTAGCCTTGTGGGGCATGGAGAAGCTTGTATGTAGTGAGCTGATTTTCAGCTGGGTTTCAGCTTGGCACAACAAGGCCTTTTTTTTATTACTTTGTGTAATATTTGACTATGTTTATTAACCATGTTTCAAAATATAATAGCCCTCTTAGCTTGAGCAATTATAAAAATCTTACTGTTTTTTTCCTTTGCAGTGACATTTCTGGGGGCAAGCCCCTGGAAGTAGAGATTGCAGGGATAGAATACATGAATGATGATCCTGGCATGGTGGATGTTCTTTACGCCAAAGTCCACATGAAAGATGGCTCCAACAGGTATATTTCTGGAATACTTCTTTGTTTAAATCAAGAGGTGCCTAAAAGAATCCCTCAAAGTTCAATTTATTTTGATTCCTTTTCTTTGGGATCTTATTATTGTAAAGAGTGTTTTGATTCTTTTTTTTTTCTCCCATCCCCAATTTCTTTCTTCCTTTTTTAAAAAAAATCCTAAGCTAATATCTTTTTTTTAATTTTTTTTTCCTTTGTATTTTTCTTCTTTACCAACAGCATTTCCTGAAGCAGAAAAGCTAGTATATTGAAAGAGAAATTTGTTGTAAGAAAAAATATCAGACTTTTCATCTGATAACTATCGAGTTCTTTAGATAATGGGTGTTGATAGCAATGATCTAGTTTTCGTGGAACTCAGTGCTTCCTTCGTGTTTTCCAGGATAAGAGGCAGGAAGGATGGCATTTTAGGTTAGGAATTTCAAATGTGGTATAATACAGGTGCAGTGAATCCCAGGACAAATGGGGATGAAAACTTTACCAACTTCATAGGATTATTAAGATTAAATTAATCTGATAAAATGCTTAAAGCAGTGCTTGCACATACTGACATTATCAAAACATCAATAAATGTTTACTCTTTTTAATTTTCTTCGTTTTTTTAAGAGACGGAGTCTTGCTCTGTTGGCCAGGCTGGAACCTCAAACTCCTGGGCTCAAGGGATCCTTCTGCCTTGGCCTCCCAAAGTGCTGGGATTACAGGCGTGAGCCACCACGCCTGGCCTCTTTTTAATTTTTAGTATTACTGCACCTAGATCCCTCCTAGGGATTCTCAGTCTGCAATACAGGCTATTTCTGAGGTTGGCCTAGGCATCCAGAGCCCTTTCCAGTGTTAAAGCCATTTATCAGTCCACTCAAGGCCTTTGGTGAGCAGAGAAGCCCATCTTGAATTGGAAGTTTGTTTTTATGTGGTCTTTTTATTTAGGGCAGGGTAGAACAGGGCTCACACTGAACCAGAAACACTGTAGAGAAAATCTGAGTCTCTAGGCAGGTCCCCAGATCTATTTGCTTTCCTACAGGATCTCTTCTAAGGTTTCTCTTAATCTGAATTGATAATCTCAATTATGTCTTATCTCAATTCATTTGTAATTGAATTTTGAGGAGAAGGGAAGAAAAAATGGCATAGAATAGTACAGGACCTATTTGTTATGTTCTGTGCCAGAGTTTTCTTTTCTCAGATACTTGGCATATGCCTAAAGAACATACTAGTGATCCTACCTTAAAAACCAGGGGCACATTGTTACTTAACAGGAGATCGTATATGAGGACATTCTTAAACGTTTCTACCAGGCTAGAGTTTGATATCTAGTATGGATCATTTACTTTGTGTTCTAAGTCATAACTATCCAAATGCCTTCGCAGTATTGTAGAACTGCTATGTACCATATGTATGAGTGTTTTGAAAAAGCACAAACTGTGTTTGCTGTCATACCACAACAATCAACACAGAAGACTTACGTGACCCCAAAATATGTGGGGATTTCTCCCCACCAGCAAGCAAGCAGTCCGCTCTGCAGTGGACACCAGTTGGGTGTCCTCTAATGTAATTCTGTCACTGTCTACCTGGAGATAGTGTCAGATCCCACAGGGTGAGGGCTCAGTCCCCAGGACTGCCTCTTCCTTCAGACACCAGTAGCATGTCCAGGCCTTCAGAAGTTCTGGCCAATCAGCTTCAAGTTGCAGTTCCCACAGCTCCCTCTTTGGGTTCGATTAATTTGCTGGAGCAGCTCACAGAACTCAGGGAAACGTTTACTTAAGTTTACCAATTTATTACAAAGGATATTACAAAGGATACAAATGAAGAGATGCGTAGGGTGAGGTATTGGGGACAGGGTGTGGAGCTTCCATGCCCTCCCTGGGCACTCACCACCCTCCAGGAACCTCCACGTGTTCTGCTTTCTGAACCTAGTCCTCTTAGGTTTTTATGGACAACAGTGTTGAAATGTCATTGGCCCTGGCTGCAGTGGCTCACACTTGTAATCCTAGCATTTTGGGAGGCTGAGGCAGGAGGATTACTTGAGACCAAGAGTTTGAGACCAGCCTGGGCAACACAGTGAGACCCTCTCTCTACAAAAAATAAATTAGCTCAATGTGGTGGCACACGCCTATAGTCCCAGCTACTCAGGAGACTGAGGCAGGAGGATGAGCCCAGGAGTTTGAAGTTGCAGTGAGCTATAATGATGCCACTGCACTAGCCTGGACGACACAGTGAGACCCTGTCTCCAAAAAAAAAAAAAATTAGCTTCCAGGTTATGAGGCAGGACCCTCTCTAGAATGAGGGTCTCATGACTTACAATAAGAAAGGCAAAGGCAGGGAAGATAAGAGTCCTGCCTTGGGGCAGGAGAAAGGAGGGCAGGATTTCCTGAGGCCTGCTCCTGGGGCCTTACAAACCTAAAGTTATAACAAAAGTCTATAATAAGGGCTATGGGAGTTATGAGCCAGGAAACATGGATGAAAACCAATATGTATATCACAACACTGCAAGGGGGTACATTATTTTTCAATTTCATGAACAGAAACAATGAAAATGATCTAAGATAGCAGTTCTCAAACTTTTAGGTCTCATAATCTCATAATTCTTAAAAATTATTGAGAACCCCAAAGACCTTTTGTTTATATGAGTTGTATCTACCAGTATTTTACCCTATTAGAAATTAGAACTGAACTGGGTATGGTAGCTCACGCCTGTAATCCTACCACTTTGGGAGACCAAGGCAGGAGGATCACTTGATGCCAGGAGTTTGAGACCAGCCTGAGCAACATAGCAAGACTCTGTCTCTACCAAAAAAGAATAGAAAAATTAGCCTGGCATGGTGACGTGCACCTGTAGTCCCAGCTACTTGGGAAGCTAAGGCAGGAGGATTATTTGAACCCAAGAGTTTGAGGTTGCAGTGAGCTATGATGACACCACTGTACTCTAGCCTAGGTAACAGAACGAAACCTTATCTCAAAAAAAAAA